GCTTTGCTGAAGCATTTCTGAATGCTGCAGGCTATATGGGCGTTTGCATAACAATGCATATGCAAAAATGCAGCAGAACATGCAAACAGGCGTTGTCGCTATGTGACTTGTTTGTTAACCATTGGTCCAACCTTATTTTCCATATTCATGAGGAATTACGCGGATCCGAGGTGATGTTTGTCAGTCAGAGAAGTCCGCGGAAGGAATAACACGTACGTCGGTCTGTTCTTCACGAGAAGAAACTTGGAAGAAGAAATATCGAAGGCGGCTGGGGAAAGTACTTCCATATTGTTCTAATTCATGGTAAGTTTCTATTTCTTGGCGTTTTCTCCAGTTTAAATTGAAATATATCCCCAAAAAGCTACTCCAAATTTTAGCACGTGCGGTTACTGACTCGCTTTACGTTTCTTGTCGAAGCTTCAATAAAACGCTTCATGGTTGTAGCAAAGACTAACTTTCAGTACAGCAGTAAGAACCATTGGGACACTATAATTTTAACGAGTCGTTGTTTCCACTAAATTTTCCCCCTGCTGTTTTATGTTTGCTGTTCACTATCAAACTTTGTCTTTTCAATGCAAATTTCTTTTAATTTCATCATCACTAATTACAATCATCCTTTGAGATTTTATCGTTTCTATTTTCAGAGCAGAGAAAAGTCCTGAAGAAAGCAATGTCAGCAGGAAACGTGGAGTGGATAACATAAAGATAAGAATTTTGTTACACTGAAACCTTTCTTATAAGAAATGGCAGTTTGGTACGACAAAATTGTACCCGCTACACCTAAAATTAGGTCGATCCTTAAATTTAATTTATCTCGTACCTTTGAAATATTGTTTGTACTCGAGAGACTTTGATCACGAAGTGCCAAAACAAATCATTGGCTGTCAATTAAAATTCTGCCATTGTTATCAGAAAGGTCTTGGGAAGTTTTATTCTTGAGCGATCACAACAATCACGGTATTGAATTCTCAAAACCCGTGAATAAAATTGATAGCTGCCAGTTTTTCAGAAGCAAAGAAAGCAAACGGATTTATTATCGAAAAGTGTCTAATTGTATTGAATTGATTTTACGGGTTTATAAAATCACTCTYCAATTTCTGAAATTAGGTGTTTCGTGTGTTTTTTGCATGGTTTCTATTTGAGATTTTTATAATTTTTTTTGGATTGAAAACCGCTAAATTGTGATCGCTCAAGACATATTTACTTTGTTAATAGGTCATTAGAGTGTTTTAAGGTGGTATCTGTATGTCGAAAAGCAAGTCTTGATACCAATTGGCCTTCTATGACTATTGTTAATGTGTACACATCAAGTCAACGTTAAACAGTTTTCGATTGCCTTGTTTTCTGAACATTTTTTAAGAACTACTCTTTTACGAAGGCAAAATTTAAAATTTAAATTCGTGACTGGAATTGTGTATGGCTGAGGACAATGTCCTTGTTCAAAATTAAAACACGAGTGGTTGTATAAAAATTGATTCACTTTGGAACTGTTTTGAATTGTTTTGTTCTGTTAAAATTTACCAAGGGCTAAACAACTTTAATTTGTGACTTGAATTGTCTTTGACTGAGGGCAATGCCCCTGCGCAAATTAAAACACTCGTGAAAAATTGTTTCATTTTGAAATTTGTTTTAAATTGTCTTGTTCTATAAGGTTAACGTTTTCTCTAAAACTTTATACAAACAAAATTACTATTAATTTGTGAATTGGATTGTTTGTGGCAGAGGACAATGTCCCTCCCTGTTCAAAATTAATAAACGAGTGATCCTATAAAAATTGGAGATCAAAAGTCTGATTGAAACTTAATTATATTTGATTATTTCTTCGTCTAAAAATCTTGTATCATTCCAGAGAAGAACTGAAAAAACTAAGGAGTACTTTTATTTTTAACGTTTCTCAAAATTGTTAAGTCATTGAAGTGAATTTAATATCTGTCCTAGTTGCTCGAAATTTACGTTTTGATTTGTTTTACTTCATCGAATTTAGGCGTACAAAGCGAACTCGACATACGAAGCCACCTTAAAACAACATTAAGAGAGAACATTGGGTTTCTGAAATGATTTTAATTTACTCGAAAAATTACTGTTTCGCTATAGATTTATTATAAGACATTTCGTTACGGCGAAGGGTCGGTGAAGTTTCGATCTTCATTAGCTTTTTTGCTTGGAAGGGACAAAATATCTTTCAGAAACCCATGTTCTCTGTTAGAGTAGGTGAGGTTGTAAAGAATTATATCTGGTTTCAACAGTAACAGTAATCGTGTCGGTATAGAAATATAAATCGCTCGGTTTATTTGTTTGTGTTTTTTTATCTATCGTTGGCAATTGGCAAATATTTTACCCAAAACATAAACGTTCGACATAGAATGGCAATAGATTTTTGTAATGTGTTTAGTGAAAACCAGATATTATTCTTTAAAGCCTCACTGACTTTAAGTTAATCAGGGCTTTCATCAAAACCAGTTTATGAATGCTACACAGGACCAGAATCCAAATAAAATGCGCAAAAAATTTCTAGGATAATTTCCACTGAATTTACTTTAAACAATTTTTTTTCTTATGCGACGTTTATGAAATTGTTTGCTCAAATTTTGGCCTAAAATTTTCGTCAGTCTTCAAAATGTTTTTTGCTTCGTTACTTGTTTTTTGTTCTCTAAAAGTTTTCTCAGAGCTTAACTTTTACGAAGGCACAACTTTGATTCGTGAGTTGAATTGTCTATGGCTGAGGGCAATGCCCCCGTTCAAAATTAAAACTGAGTGGTTGTATGAAAATTGTTTCAGTTTTAAAAGGTCTTGTTTTCTAGAAGTTTACGTTTTCTCTAAAACTTGATGAAGAAAACATAACAATTTGTGTTTTGAATTGTCTATGGCTGAGGGCGACGCCCTGTCCAAATTTAGACTTGAGTGGTCGTATGAAAATTAATTGTCTCAATT